TCCTGGCGTCTCCCCCTCGGCCTGCAAATTGCACCAGGCGTGCTCCTTGCACTCGGCGCGATATTTTTGCTCCCCGCTTCACCACGACTTCTTGTCTTGAAGGGTCGGTACACTGAGGCTGAAGCAAGTCTCGTGAAGTTACGCGGCCGCGATGACGGGCTAACTAAGGCAAATTATGCAATGCAGAATAAAGATGTGCATACTGATGTTATTCACGCTCAGATCGAGTTACTTGAGATGCGGGTCGAGGCTACGCTCGTTACTCAAGCAGACAATACCACCGGCGTTAAAAACGGCGCCAGCAGTGAACTTGCTGCGTGGGGTCGTCTCTTCACTAAGAAGTACCGTGCCCGCACGATGATCGGTGTGCTCATGATGGTCTTCCAGCGTGCGTCCACTTTCTTTCTGTGTCCATGTTTCAACTAATGTGAATTTATCCACGCCAGAATGGAGTGGCATCAACGCGCTACTCTACTACGGCCCAACGCTTGTACGCAGTATTGGACTGCAGGGCGACACGGTGGGTCTCCTCGTCTCTGGCGGGATCGGCATCGTGCAGTTCCTGGCAGTGGGCCCAGCGGTGGTGTATATCGATCGGTTGGGTAAGCGTTCCCTTCTCTCAGTAATTGTTTCTTTTGGCTGAATGGCCGCTGCAGGGCGGAAACCGTTACTTCGAGGTAAGCTATTATTTAATCCACCGATGCAAAGCCTAAATTATGTTGTTAACAGGCGGGAGCGCCGTCATGGCCTTTTCACACTTGCTCATTGCGATTTTGGTGCGTGTTGGCTGTCCCGCGAACTCCTGAACATCACCACCCTAAATTATCTGATCTAATATACCTCCAGGTCCAGCAATTCCAAGCCGATTGGTCCGCACACGCGATCGCCGCGTGGGTTGCCGTTGCGTGAGTCTTTCAACTCAATTGACCTATCTGCCTCACGGTAGTCTGACTTTATTGACCAATAGCGGGATTTACACCTTTACCTTCGCATACGGTGTCTCCTTTGGCCCTATCGGCTGGGTGCTCCCCAGTGAGGTCTTCCCGCTCTCGATGCGAGGAAGAGGTGTGGCGCTGGCGACCGCGTCGAACTGGGCAAACAATTGTGAGTCTGGCGCATAAAGACCATCACTGCTACATAAACCTGACAGCATCTGGTGTGCAGTTTTCATAGGCTTGATCACGCCAGTGCTAATGGAGGCCTCGCCTGCGTGCGTCTTCCCATGCTCATAACTCGCTTGAATTGAATTGGCCGATGACCCTCTCCTGTGTGTAGGGGCACATTCCTCACCTTCGCCTCAGCGTGCTTCCTTGCGTATCTGTGGGCGACCTACAGCGTGCCAGAGACCGCGGGTGTCGCCCTCGAGGACATGGACCGGGTGTTTGGGAGTGAGGCAGGGAGGGACGATGCGCTTAGGCGGAAGGAGGTGCATTGTGCTTTGTTTCTTGCCCGTAACGCCTACCTCACAACTAATGATATCTTGGAATGTAGGTCGAGGAGGAGCTTGGCTTGCGAGAGCTGCTTGCGGCTGCTGCGGAGGAAGAGTGATAAGTTGCATTTTCTGCTGTTGGGTTTCTGTAGACGGAATTAGAAGAAAGACGTCTTTGGGAGCTAATGACGTTGCGTTTACCTCAGCGATTCGGGCCGAGCTTGCAGGGATGGAGGAAAAGGCGTGCCTCCTCTCTTCTATTAAACACCGTCTGCTTTCAAGTCAATGTAGGGAGGTGGGTTGATCTCCGCGGCGTTCCAAGGTACTCCTCCCGGCGAATTTTCAATTTCAATGACTCACTGCGTTCCGGGCCCGGCTACACTTAGTCAGCGCGGCTGAGTCTGGCTGATTGCGGCCCAGTGTAGCCGGCTACACTTACGTACCCGTGTCAGTGTAGTGAGCCGCAATCAGCCAGACTCAGCCGCGCTGACTAAGTGTAGCCGGGCCCGGAACGCAGTGACTGTCATCTTGAACATGGACTTGAGCTTGGTGTTCAACCACAACTCCGATCCACCCTCTCCGACTTCGAACGACCTTCTGCATTCGCCGCGCGGCCCTTAGCCCTTCCCCTCGAATTAAGCATCAAGATTCAATAGCCTATTTCAATTAGTCCGAGCTTCTTCGGCTGCCACGCAGCGGTACATAATGCGGGTCGTTGCCATCCGCCTCTTCCCCTACGACCGCCACCTGCCTTTTTTCCTCCACCCGCTCGCTCAACCTCTTGTTTCTTACCTTCTCCAAACCTCTTTAGACAATGCTCAGTGTATTCAAGCTCAGGTCTGTCATGCTCTAGAGCGAACCTCTTCCTCCCTTGACGATTTTGTGCAGTGTGGCGGCGATGCTGGCGGCTACCTTGGTGACCGCCGACATCCATGTTTCAGAGGGGGCTGCAGCTGGTGAGCCCGTGACGATTACCTGGGACGAAGACCCCTCCATGGATACCTTCTCCATCGAGCTTGTGAACCCCAAGAACTTTGTAAATCTAGTCGCTTCGTCTGCATCCCAGGAATAACTGATCGTCCTAGCACGATACGTTTGCCATCGCCAACAGCGTTAATCCTAAGAACGGAAATATCACGGTTACTATTCCCAACGTCCCTGCAGGGTCAGTCTACTCTTGTGCTACCTCCTTCGTTCCCTTCGCTCACACTTTTTTTTTTTTCAGCGAGGGATATAGCCTCGAGTTTGTTAATGTCACGGACATCAACGATGTTTTCGCAACCAGTCCCGACTTCCATATCGCGGCGCCGGTGTCCACCAGCGAAAGCGCTACTCCGAGCACGACAGCTACGGGAAGCAACAGCGCACCTAGCGCAACGGCGTACGTCTCAGCCTCGTTCCCTCGGCCTCATGAAACCCTAACTCTCGCGGATCCAGCACTGTGCCCATGATGTCCGGCTCCATAGGCTCCGCGTCGACGCACATGTCCGGCATGTCCGCCTCGGCCAGCGGCAGTGCCCTCGCTTCCGCCGCAAGCGCCAAAGCCTCGAGCCCCGCAACCGGCTACCGTGTCCACGGCGCTAGTGCCGCCATGACCGGCGCCGGTGTCGCGCTCGTCGGCCTCATTTCTGCCGCATGGATGCTCTAACGAGGGATTGGTTGGAGGGAATGTGATTTTGGACCTTGTTTAAACACTGGACTGCTCATACTCGTACATATTCTCTATTGTACCCTGTCTTTTCTTGATTCGCTCGCTTGTTGCACGACATTCTGTTAATTGATCCCGTTGTTCTTTCACGTCGAAAGTAGACGCTGCCTCGACTACGCGGACAAAAGGAGCAGGAGGACAGTTAATCCCCAATTAATAAGATTCGGAATCAATTACCTTGCTTTAGCTAGGTCCCCAGCCTGACAAAAAAGCGCGACAAATCTTACGTAAATCTACAAATAGTAAACATCATCAAATTGCGTCGATTACCTTGCTTTAGCTAGGTCCCCCAGCCTGACAAAAACCTATACACAGGGAACCAGATAAGATTACACCTGACAGCGGTCTGTAGAAAACGAACACCAAAGTATAGTAGCGGTAGAACCTTGGTTGAAGTGGTGCGCCGACTCAGATGTTCAACTTGATTGGCCGCCGAACACTCCCACAAAATGCTTTCCTCTCTCTTGATAAAATTATGCGAGCCGTTCCGAAGCCTTTAAAGGTCTGCTGATGGCACCGCACTTTGCTGCGGTATGACTGGTCATACAGCCAAGAAATATTGTCTGTGATACCGAGTAACAGGCCGAAGCTTGGCTCAAAATAAACTCAACAGCTGTATTTTCAGGATTTAACAGCTCTCGTGCTTCTTCCACGAGATGTGCTTCAATCCGGGGCGACAAACACACTATGGAAGTTGTCTTTTCACAAGTACAGCCGTTTGTAAACAATAGAGGGGTTTCGTACATCGCTGATGCTTAATGTGTGCTTGCCTTGCTGATATCTAACTATTATTTCTACTGGCAGGTCCTGTGCAAAAGCTCGTAATCAGACCATTCATTATTCAGCCATAGTGCTCAGCGCTTCGGTCCAAGCAAGGTGAGGCTGCGGCAGCAGACCCCTAGTCAAATAAGAAGCGGGTATTCACACTTTTGGGATTGCACCTTCAACCACAAACAGCCACAAAAAATCACGGACACAAGGAATCGATCCGCCCTCCACAACTCCTCGACCAGGCTGCGGACCCTCGCGTCGGAGATCCTGAGAGCCATATGTTTGCTTTCGCTCAACGAGGGCCATAAGGCTGTACTTGGCGCCTCCTCCGATTATCGAGTAGCATTTAACGTGTCCTTCCGTTTTGAACGTTTTGACGGACTCATTGGATCCCTTCGACTTCCTGAACTGGATAGTGACATCGAGAGCGACGACGGATACGAGTACATCGGCGAGCAGGACGGCGTCTGGGAGGCCCGCTGCGCGTCAATGGCACTCATCAATGCGCTGACGAACTCCCCTGAATCTCTCGAGGATCGGATCATACTGCGAGACGACTTCAGCCGGAGGGGGTTGAACGAAGTGGTCTTATTCCGTCCATCTCATTCCTTGTGGTTTGAAGTGTTTTTGACCCCCTGGTATCAGGTTCTCCGACATGATCAACCACCAGACGTCCTCATGCCGCAGCTATATATCTACTCCGAGGAGAAGTTTGAGGACGAGCAAGATATGCGGGATCGCGCGCCAAAGGCGGTGGACATCAGCGCACGCGCTCGGATTGAAAAGCTACGCTGGAGGACCTCGTTCGTCTCGCAAAGCTACACGGAGAGGTTGATCCAAGATGATGGAGATCATGAATATTCAAACATAACAGCGAGACATTGGGATGTGAGTACAGTACTGCTTCAGTAGTTTTTTTGTAGGTGCTGATTTACTGGAGCAAGCGACTTAAGGCGGATTTGTTCACTCGTCCAGCAAGCAGCGATGCCTGATGACTTGTCGACCTCTTTGCGAATCAAGGAGGAGGATTGCCGGAACGGTCCAAAATTAATGTATGGTTGAGGACTCTGAGCTGAATAACATGCCCGACACTAGGATATGGCGCAAGGGATAGCGCGGCCTGAAACCATTCTCCCTGCGGTTCGGGATGACAGGCAGATCGAGGTTCGATTCCTCGTGTCCGGGATTTTTTTCTCTCTTACGATTGAAATGCACGCTAAGGACGTCAGGCTGTTGTTCTTTTGGTCTCCGTGCTCTTAGCGTCGTGGGTGTACTGGGGCACAATCTGCCCTGCGGTGACCCGGTTCTGGTGGTGCAAGTTGAAATTCAGCATTGTCCCATAGTTGTCTACGTCCCCATTCTCAACCATGGTCCCTTTCGCAATGCTTTCACCATCATTTTTACCTGACTTTCCTCCCACCTTTTGTGCGGAGCCTCAAATTAACGAGTCGTTCTCTATGGGGAAGATTCGCGGGAAATTCCGCGAGATCTTTGTTAGGGTCCTTGCTCCACACAAAAATGCCGCTGGAATTCACTCGTCTGCCCCCGGAGCTGCTGGATGCCATAGCATCTCACGTACCTATGCCCGATCTCCTCGCATTGTGTCGAACCAACCACGGACTGTACAGCATCTGCTTGCGGTGGATTTCCCACTCTCTCTCGCCTTCTACTGTGGCCTGTACGGTGGGGCTCCCCAAGGCCCTCATCTCCAACAAACCAGCGGCCACTTGCGTCAAGGTGTTCGATATGTGCGTCGTGTTGAGACCGCAGTGTCTACTATTCGTTTATTGGAAGCAGACACCTTCCGTTGGACGACGTACTGAAATACTTTGCGGGCCTTGTTCAGCTGGCTGTGCCCAACCTCACTGCCCTCAAGACCCTAAATTACTCCTCATCACCAGTTCTGTTCTCCTCCTTTGCTCATACTCACTTTCCCCGGCTATACGACTGCCTCATCCCCCTCTGCACTGACACGGCCGGCTTCCTCCGTCTCCACCCAACAATAATCCGGCTCGGCGTTCTTCCAGATGCGGATCCGTCCGCGCCGCCTGTATACCCTGGTCTCTCAGAGGTCTCGTTACCAGCTCTGCGCGATTTCAACGGGCCGGCCGGCGTGGCACGCCAAGTCATCGCGGGCTCCCCGATTCAAGTGGTGACGATCTCGTGGGACCGAGGCTTAGACGAGGGGTACCCCGCTGTCCTGGCCGCCTTCTTGCCGGCGCAGACGCCGCTACGTATGATGCGCAATCTTGTATACGTCTGGGACGCGGCCTTGCTGCTCGCCATCGCTAAAACACCTCCCGTGCCTTGCCCTCCTCAGCATCTGGAATATTGCTCTTTCCGGCGCCCCGCCCGTCGAAGGCGCCTTGGAGGTACGTTTGTTGCTCTTCTTTGACCTATTCCGCGCACGCAGTATGTTTCGGAGAATTGCGTTGACATCATGCTTCAGACCTACTACGACGTCCTCAAGACCGTTATCCTTGATCTTCCCCACCTCAAAACCATCGTCTGTATTTCGCACGTCGAGCACACACCTCCGACCCCGGACGACCTCGCCCTGGAATTCCGCGCCGTTCGCGAATGCGGATCCCGTTCCGCCGCGCTGCGCAGCTGCACGCTCACGAGCAATACGATGTGGGTGCGTGGGGTGGAGAATTTCTGGTACCCGTGTGCAGCGAACAAGGATCGAGCCGAGTCACAGTGGCGCCTTCTCTGGCTGGTAGGGCTTGTTTTGCGGGCGCCTACCGAGTTCCCTGGCTATGCAGCAGAGGTGGAACGCGTGCTTAGGAAGGCACAGTGGGCGGCGGCTCTCAACAAGCTTGACCTTTCGGCTGACTGAGTGGCATTCCCGTCTCTTGCCGTACAGCTTTCAGGTTTCCCCCTGTATGTCGACCTCGCTGTTGGTTGTGAGAGAACAGAATCAATGTATTCGCAATCGATCTGGCTATTCATCAACTTCGATCTCCTGGCCTTGAGGTTCGTAGTGAGTTTCTTGTAACTCGCTATCCCAAACCCGCACCGAGGGCACACCTGGGAAGGGAACGCACCCGAAAAGTGAGCAAGCCTCGTCCCCGAATCGGGGCCGGTATCTCTCAACCTCTAAATATATAGTGGCGAGACGGCGGTTCGAATCTGCGATACGACTGGGACGTCGGAAAATGGCGAAGGTATTTTCTACGACGGGCCGATCAACGGCCCAAACAAACTGTGTACCTGGTGATAGCCCCGAAGAGCACAACGCTGTGGAGATGGACAGAGTGGTATGTTTCCGTTTGGTTTTCCCTTTTCCGTAAAAGAAACATGAATGGTTGGAACCTTAGGTATACTTATACACAGGAGGTGTACTGCACGAAGAGAGTGTCCTGATTTTATGACCAGGAGCCGGACTACCATGATGTTATCAGCAAAGCAGATGGTTGGGCGATTATAATTCCACGGCGGCGAACTTGGTCGAGGATTAGTGGGAATTAAACGTTTTCCAAAGGTAAGTTTCCCAAGTAGTAAGATAATCACTGAACGCTTACTGATTACTTCCTCCCTCCCCAGAGGGCATATGTCAATCACCGCGCAAATGCATCCTCCCACTTGCTCAAAACGCCTACCTCACCTTTCATTTATTATCTTTATTTCCGCTGTCGTTTTGTTACTTTACTTTCTCGGAGTTTCTCCCCTGAACCTCCCTCCCCTTCCCTACTTCTACCCTGTTGATACCGCGCAGATCACTGGCAGTATCGACAGTTAGAATATCAATGACCCTTTTACCTTTTTGATATCGAGGTTGAGGTGTTAATTGCACGTTCCGACGTATACATTATGCAGGGGTAATGGGCTCGATCGACATATCAATGCACCGCGAGAACGGGTGGTCTCGTAGGAATTCCTCGTCGGGAAGGTATCACTGAACCTTTCCGACTCCCTGCCGCTCGGCATGCGACAAATCCGGCAGAACGGCCATCAACGGGGTCACATGCTTCAACCAACTCTTTCTAATTTCTTCACATCAACTGCCAAGCGGCCCAAGCCATGGCCACGACAGACGCAGGTCAAGCCTTTGAACGACTGTATCGCTTCCCCCCCTTTCCTCCTGTGCCTCAAGGAGTCACAATCATCCCATTCAAAGATTTTCAAGAGTACGGCGCACGCGTCGTCGGCGAGGATGGAATAGAGCGCGATGGACGGGGTATTCCGACGATTCCACTCCCAAGGAGCCACAAAAAGCAACTTCTAGCAGCTGCCACGAACGGACCTTCAGTCAGAATGGACTGGTGGCTAGAATGGGAGGCGACGGGAGAGCATCAAGTGGTCCGCAGTAATGCGTACGATCGGTGGGCCTCTTGTTCGGGGAGGTGAATCCAGGGCTTACCACGTACTAGCGCAACAACTCGCGACCATCGGTTTCGTCGCGCGGTCGGGCATTTTTCTAAGTAGGGATTTCTTGACTTTTTTGCAAATCCTCACGGGAAAAAATATTGATTGCAGGCATCACAAAATCAATCCACCGAAGGGCCCTAAACATCTGCAGGAACTATGGGACACTGTGCGCCGTCCTCGTAATCATTTTATTCCAGAAGATCCTAACGATCTTACAGTTCAGATCGTTCGTGGGCGTCACCGTCGCCGGCGGTCCTCCAAACGAGCTCGCAGACGAGCTCTCGGACGACGACGACCTGGATGGCGGCATTCCATCGTTTACACTTACCGACACTAACGCTAGCCCGGACCTCAACCCCTCGTCCGACGTGAACGAGAATCTCGTCGCTTTCTTAGATGCCCCAGCTCGATCCATCGAGATCTTTCTCTCATCGCACATGCGCAGTCGCGGCCAAATGTGGTAAGCAATTAAATGCAATATTGCCTTGCACCATACACACTACGGACCTGTCCAGGGCCGCTCGCAAGCTCGTCTCCGCACCGCACCTCCTGCGCTTCTTCCTCAACTACCTCCTGCGAAACCAGGTGCTGCCCGAATGTGCGGACGGGCTGAGGGAGGCGCTCAATATCGTCGACCGCGCGGCGGCGGAGCTTCCGCTCGTCCCCCAGATCTCCAACGCGCTTCCGGATGCGTTCTCGAGTGCGTGTCAGCGGTGGTGGAGGCGCAAGGCAGAGGGGTACGTTGCGAAGGATTTGGAGGCGGGGGAGGAGGCGGACGAGCCCAAGGCGAAACGCGCAAAGCATGGGCACCAGTGGGACGAGGCGATCGAGGAGATCAGTACGGATAGCGCGGCTGCTGTGACGAACGATGGTATTGCTACTGAGGACACCGTCATGGGTCGGGCTGCCACTGCCAGCGGCGGGTGGGGCGCAGTCGGTGGGTGGGGTGTACAGGATGTCAAGATGACCACAAACGACGCAGATCCCTCCAACATCCAAGTTGTCCCCGCCACTGCCGGCGGGTGGGGCGGAGGTGGGTGGGGTGCAGCAGATGCTAACACAAACACCAGCGATCAAGACGCTGATATGCCCGCGGCGGCTGAAGTTGGGTGGGGCGCAAGCACAGGTGCAACTGGCTGGGACTCAGGCACTGGATGGGGTCCCACCAATACAGTCAATATCGCACAGGCCAAACCCCAACCCGAGTTCATCCCGACCACGCTCCTCACGCTCCTCGGACCCACCGCACTCCCCGTCACGCACGCCCCAGGCATCGTCGAGCAGTCCCCGCGCCGCGTCAAGACCATCACCCCGCCCGCCACGTCGACGGAGGCGCAGAACGCGCCCTCGGACAAAGACATGGGTGGCGCTGCCTACGCGGTCGAGCGCGTGCTAGAGGAGCGCATGTACCGCGTAGCCCTCGCGCCGTGGCTCGATTCAAACGCCACCGCGGACCCGCCGCGCATCCTTGCCACCTCGCGAGGCGCGCTGGCGCCCGCTGTCGCTGCCTCGTCCGCGCACCCAAAGCCGCACGATTTATCCACGGGCGAGATCGTGGTCTTGATGGAGCCCGAAGCGGCGAAGCTGCTGTGTAAGGGGATGGGGCTGGTGGCGACGTGGGTGCAGCTTGCGCGGGTGCAGGATGACGAAGATGCGAACGACGATCCGAAAGTGAAGGACGTTGAAGCGCCGCAGACGAACCTGACGAAAAAACAGAAGGCCAGGCGCGGGTTGCGCTACTGGTATATTGACGAGATCATGATGGTACTCCCCAGCTACTGGAAGGTTTGACTTCTTGAATTCCTCGGTCGTTG